GTTTTTCCCATCCTTGCTTCTCTTTTCATCCTTATGTCTCATGATCTGGGTTTTAGACCAAGTTTTGCTTCTAATGAGTTATTTGGCTTCTCTGGTTCTGTATTTCCTTTCTATTAACTTGACTCTAGGACTGTAATGAGTGTGTGTGTGTGTGTGTGTGTGTGTGTGTGTGTGTGTGTGTGTGTGTGAATTGGTGAACGCTTTTCTCCTTCCCCTTCTCTGTTCACCTCCTCTCTTTCTAAGGATCAGGGGCCAGGAAGGGCACAGCCCACAGATCTTCCCAGGCCTTTCAAGTCTGTTGCAGGGACCATTTAACAGACTGGTAGAAAAGATTTTATTCTTCCTGTACACCCAAGTCCAGAGAATCTCCTTCTGAGGTCAGGACTTCTCCCTCAGTGGGCCTACGATGTCCGACTCCTGGATCTCGGTGCATGTCAGCCCTGCAGACTCCAAGTACCTCCGTGTTCCAGGGCTGAGCCCTGCCTGAGTGATGACAGGATACGTCTTCCCCACACCCTGTGCCTCACCAGTCTGCTGTCACCCCGAGTGCCAGGAGGGTGAGGGGTGGAGAAGAGGGCAGGGCAGGACAGCCTGCAAGGGAAGCTGAGGAAAGATGTGTGCACACACCCTTGCAAATACTGTCATGCTGCTGTGACTGCCAGCTGGGGACCTGGGGCCCCCGGGCAAGAAGCAGGAAGGAAGGAGGAGGCAGAAGACTTCAGCCTCTCCAAACCCGGCATACTTACTCTCAGTTTGTCTTCATTCCTCCATCTTAGCTTAGCTGAAGCGTTCCAAGGCTCTCCTCTTCCACGGTCCTGCCCCACAGCAGCTCTTGAGTCTATACTACACTACAAAGTGATACAGAAGCAGGAAAGAGGTTAGTCCCCTGCGTGGGCTTGGGGGAGCAACTCCCACACCCTTGAGAATCCATCAAGGAAAGGGTTTCCTTGCAGGGTTTCCTTTTCTATCTGCAAAGACTCTGGGGCCCATGCGTAAATGTGCACGACTTCAAAACAGAGATATCTATCAATTCAGCATAGTTATACCTGTCGATTACTTTATGAAACACACAGTTCCTGCGGTCTTTTCTCCTTAGAGGCAATGTAATTCAATTTGGACTTTTACTGAGCAACTAATGTTTATAAGCCTCCCTCCCACTATTCCCAACAAAAAGAAGTCAAGCTTGCCTTTCCAGGAGCTTACCACCTCGCTCAGTAGATAAGATGTATATACAAATAGTTCAAGAGAGAATCGGGTAAATGCTACAACCTAATCCAGGACAGAAATGATGGGGAAAGATGGATTCTGGCTGGCAAGGTCAGAAAAGCTTCACAAAAGAGGCCACATCTGAGCTAGCTCCTGAAGGAAGAGAATTTTGATAGTAAAGAATTCTTCATTGGCTTTATCAGTTAAGGTTGGGATAGCTTGGCTTGGAAAAGTCTTTGGGCTCCAGTAAAGTATGTTCCTGGTCTCTACTGCTGTCTGTTCCTGGTCTCTACTGCTGTTTTGGATACTTCAGTAAAATCATCTGGTATGACTGTGTGGCCTTATCTCTCTGGGCCTCAGTTTCCCCCTCAGCTGCATGCCCAGTTCCTCCTTCTCTACTTTTGTCTTCATTAAAGGTGGGAACCCAACACAAGATTGGAGACACAGTATGTGCCCCACAAAAGTATTCTTAATAGAATTTATCATTAGGGTGTTCATAGCTCTCCAAGTTTCCTTCTAGGATTGTGTCATTGCTTAGGACTCCAATACATTTTCTGGAAAGAAAGAAGGAAAGAAAGAAAGGAAGGAAGGAAGGAAGGAAGGAGGGAGGGAGGGAGAAAGAAAGAAAAAGAAATAATAAAGAAGTTGGGATTTATGCCTGAAAAAATTCATTATAAAAAATCACTACTGGCTTGGTGGCTCAACCTGTAATCCCGCGCCTTTGGGAGGCTGAGGTGAGTGGATTGTCTGAGCCCGCGGGTTCGAGACCCGCCTGGGCAGCGAGACCTCATCTCTACAATAAATCAAAACATCAGCCGGGCGTGGTAGCGCATGCCTGTAATTCCGGCTACTTGGAAGGCTGAGGTGGAAGGATCGCCGGAGCCCAGCAGGTCGAGGCTGCGGTGGCCAGGAGCGGCCATTGCACTCCAGTCTGGGTGACAGAGTGAAACTCCAACTCAAAAAAAAAAAAAAATCACTAGTACATTACTGGGGAAATTTACTATTTTAAAAGCAGATCAGAAAAGACAAACAGCCCAACAGAAAAGTGGGGAAAAGAACTGAAAAAGTCCTGCTGTAAAAGAAGATATCTAAATGGCAAATGAGCATATAAAAAGATGTTCAACTTCATTAGTCATCAGGAAATGAAGATTAAAACCACAATGCAACACCATACCCATTCACCAGTATGGTTAAATGAAAGGGACATATAATAGCAAGGGTTAACAAGGATGTGGGGCAAATAAAACTCCATACATTGCTTGTGAGTGTGTACAATAGAACAACTACTTTGGAAAAAAGACAGCATTTAGTAAAATAAGCATATGCATACCCCATGATTCAGCAATTCCACTCTTAGGTGTATATGCGACAGAATTACATACATATATTCACCAAAAGACAGGTATAAGGATGTTCATAGCAATACACTTCATTATAGCTAAACACTGGAAACAACCCACATTCCCATCAGTGTCAGAGTGGATAAACAAACTGTTGTTTATATATACAACTAGAATACCATATAACAATGAGAACGAATAAACTTGCTCAACGTGGATGAATTTCATACACATCATAATCAAAAAAGAAACCAGACCCAAAAAGAGAGTATGTTACATTGCTCCATTCACATGAAGTTCAAGAATAGGCAAAACAAATTATGGTGTTTGAAGTCACAATAGTGGTTGCCCTTGTGAAACTATTCCCACAGGGTTGACAAGAACTGCATGCTGGGTTCTGGACAGAAATAGAGGTGTAATTAAGCATTAATCGGGTTGCCCTTTGGCCCACTTCTTTGCTGCTAAAAGTCACGTAGCACTGGATACTGACCATGTGCTTCCCTATCGTTTCTACAGATGGGATTTCTGACATCAGGGTCGTAAGGCTGTTCAAGAATCAGTCTGCATTCCCACTGTTTCTACAGACAGGCTCTGACATTACAGTCATAAGGCTTTTGCTTAAGGATCACTTACAATGTTTTTCAGATCCCAGATTCCCATGAAGCAGCTGACGTCAACCAGTCTGAAGACCCCCAAAGAGGAACAATGCCAGCATGAGACTACAGCTTTTTCTTCTGTTTGTTCTTTGACTTTACCCTGCACTCTTTGATGAACCAAGAATCTCCACATTATGGCCCACTCCAAAACCCTTAAAAACTCTATCCCCAGACTTCTTGGGGACATGGATTTAAGGTTTCCTTCTGTCTCTTCATCCAGTGACTCTATGATTAAACCTCTTTCTATGCTGCAATTCAGTGTCTTGGTGTGTTGACTTGCTGTGTGCATCAGGCAATGAACCTATTATGGTTATACTTGGGGAGATGAATTAATGATTGGAAGGGGACACGCGTGGGGATTCTGGGGATCCTGGTAATTTTTTTTCTTGATCTAGGTGGTAGTTACACAGATATGTTCACTGACCTATATACTAATGAGTATGCATTTTTCTGGCTGTATGCTACACTTCAAAAAATTCTGTATTTTTCTTTTTTTAAAAGTTAATTAGAACATGTTTTGGCTCCACAGCTACATTTCAAACAATAGGAAAACAATTTATGGTAGATAATAAAGAAGGGGTGTTCCATTCTCTCCTCTTTTTTTAAAAGATATAAATCATATCACTTATTTAGATATAATATAAATATGATAACATTAACTAATTTTAAATGTAGAATGCAACGAGAATGAGCTTGGGACAACGTATGGTAGTATACCCACTACCCCCACCATGATGATATAGAATATTTCCATTACCCCAAAGCGTTCCCTTGTTCTCTATAGCCAGTCCCCTCCCTGGCCACCACTGTTCTGCTTTAGAAACTTTACTATAGCTTTGCCTTTTATAGAATTTCGGATAAATGGAGTCAAGGGATATTATTTTTTAAATTATTTTCTTTAAACATGGCGGCATACAGTAAGTCACAATTAAGTTGAATTGAATGTGTCACACAACATTTGTCCCCTAACACCACTCTATCCACCCTGGCAAAATGCACAGAATTCTTCATGAATGTTCTATGTTAAAGCAAAATTGGGTGGTGGAAAGCTGCGTGTTTTTTACTGAGAGAAGAAGTGTATCGCCTGAAGTTCCAGAAGCCAGAGCCAAGACCAGGGCAGCAGCACCGGAGGTTGTCTGCAGCTTAATAGACGAGACATTTCTCCAAAAGTTGAAGTGTATCAAGTCCTAGAATGTGCTAAACTCAGAGCAAGTCAGTTTCCTGTCCAGAGTGAACAAACAGAAAGGCAAGATGGCTAACCATAAAGGTGTCAGAGAGGGGATTGAGGCAGGAAACTTGCCTCAATGGCTTCTGGTATAATCTATTCCAAGTCCAATATTCCATTATAGCTAATTGAGTTCTAAAGCAAATCACAAAGATGTTTGCATCAAGTAGGATAAAGCAAAAAACTACACTGGCCAAAGCATATACTTTGCAGGAACACTAGAATCTCCAGCTACTAGAAAGAGATATAACTCAAGACCAGAGAAGCTATGCGGAGGCAACAAAACCACATCAAATATTTATGGCCAGAAGACAAAATATTATGGCATGAGACTGCACTTTTTTTTCTTATCAATTGTATAACCAGCTTCTAGGTTGTGAAATTAAGGGAGAAGAGGCTTTCTGCAAGGCAACTTCTCAGTGCTCACTAGACTCTAACCTCTTTTTTCCAGTTAACATAAAGGGCTTGGTGAACCCCACCCAGTTCAATATAATTCAATGAATGTTAGCTGGGCCTTCAAGGTGCTGAACTAGGCATTGAATGGATTTGACATGAATGAGCTCCAGCACTCACTTGCCTTCGAAGTGAAATGCGCATGACCTCAGTCCCGTGCCAGATTAGAAGGCTGTCATGGAAGAAAGGCGCAAACTCCCTAGGAGAAGAGAGGGTATAACAGCCAGATAAAAGTTAAGGCTGGAAGGAGAACAGGTTGCTTACACTGGACCCTCTAGAACAGGCTGATGGTCCATGATGAGACAACGCAGAACTGCAAACTTTGGAGAATTTTCCAGAAGCCAAACCATTTGCTTATGTATGTATTTATTTCCTATCTGTCTTAAGAATGAGTGGCCTTAACTGGAGATTACCAGGAAAATGTTAATTTTAATCCATTTTCTTTAAGGGACACTTAGAATTTACTGAAAATAACAATTTAATAATGATGGCCATTCTTACTGGAGTCAGGTGGTATCTCAATGTGGTTTTGATTTGCATTTCTCTGATGATTAGTGAGGCTGAGCATTTTTTTCATGTATCTGGATGACTTATATGTCTTCTTTTGAGAAGGCCGGGGGTGGGGGGCGTGCAATGTAACAACACAAAGGGTACCTAGTCCCAAACCAGGGGAAGTGAGGACCAGTTGGAAGCCCAAGCTTTACCTGCACGTAGATTATTCATGTACCTAATCCTGACTTGTACCCCACATCTCTATAATAAAATTAAGTAAAAAAAAAAAAAACAATAACAAAATGAGCTGGGACTCCACATAAATGGGTTGTGCTTCTAAGACTACAGGACCTCAGTTAGCCGGTCTTGTTTTCATCATCTGAAAAATGAGATGGTACTAAGTCAGTGGTTTTCCCTTGTGCTTCGTGGAACTTCAAGAGTATGAGAGAGCAGGGTAATGGCCCCCATACCCACTAGGCTCACAGCAGCTTGGTTTTGGGGTCTTGATTGGGCTTTCAAGTAAGGTTTCATTTGAATAAAGAGTTTTGCTACTTGAAAAAGTTAAAATACAGAGTATGCTAAATAAGTCAGTGGGGTTGTCCTGCATCCAGAGACTGAGACTCGAGTGGTTCCCTCAAAGTACAAGTTCAGGACATTCTATGATTTTATGTATTTGTTTTTAATCATTACGACATTATTATATAACAATCTGTTTTTTTCTACCTTTTTTTAAATCTTCAGACTTAATGTTTTCCCTGTTCAGCCTCACTCTTCACATATCATTTTTCTCTTGTCTATTCTATTTTGGTATTTATTTTCCTTCCTTTTTAGGTATATCTGTGGAAAAGAGTCAACATAGCATGCCAGAAACTGTTATCCTTGGAATGACCTGCTTGTGAGACTGGCTCTGGGCTGGTGTCTGGGAACTTAAGATTTAGGGAGGGTTCCCATCATGCCCCAAATGATGACTGACTCACTGTGCTAAACCGTTTGTACAAGCTAGCTTATGCTGAACACCTGCTTTCCTTCTGGGAGTGTGGAATTTGGTACATGCCAGGCAGAGGCGCCTACACAACCGACCAGATAAGAACCTTGGGTTCCTAAGCTCAGGCAAGTTTCCCTGGAAGACAACATTTCACAGGTGTTTGTTACTGGAGGAAATAAGCGTGTCCTGACATGACTCCATGGGCAGAAAACTCCTGGAAGGCTGTACCGAGTTTCCTCCAGCCCTTACCCCATGCCCCTTTCCCCTTCACTGATTTTGCTGTATTTCCCTGTGATAAATCTTAACTGGAAGTATGATCATTTGCTGAGTCCTGTGAGTCCTCCTAGTGAACCTGGGGTGGTCTTAGGGACCCTGACACAGAGTAACAGGAGTGGGCCTCACTAGAGGACTCTGACTTTGACATATGATGGAAGTACTGTTTGGGAAAAGGAAGGATGAGTGCCTGCCGTCAGGACATGGAGATCTGGAGAGCGCAGACACCAGCTGAGTTGCGAGAAGTAAAAATTACCTATGGAATTTGAAGATAATGCTTCCAATTCCAGAAGAAAGGGCTTGCTGGACCCCCTGGCTGTTTTTGGCAGTGCCAGCTGAAGTGAGGTGAAAGAGAAAGAAAGCTCAGCCTGCTTGAGTCTTTGATTTTGTTCTCTCCTCCAGATGGGAGGGGAAAGGGCCCAGTCATTCCAAAAAGTGAGCTTTGGGCAAAAAATGTTAAAAATGTGTGTTGTTCTCTCCTCCAAATGGGAGGGGAAAAAAATCAATTCCCAGAAGCAAAACAGAGACACACCAAAGAGAGGGATGGGGGAGCAAGGATGGTTGGCTGGCGCAGCCCTGTCTCCACACCCTTCCCTCCCCTCCTGGCATTCCAGCCCTGATCTCCTGGCAGCTGTAATGTTAACCTTGGAAATGCTGAATTTACTGTGAGGTGTTTGGGCAAATTTGCAATGAGAAAAAAGAAAGTTTTGCTATCATTGTTGACTTTGTATTTTGTGGCTACTGCATCTGGATGTATGGTAAGTGGATGGAAAGTGTTACAGTCTTTGTAATTTCATAAATGCTATCTGGAATGATCATCCCGATGAGGAAAAGCTGCAAAAAAAAAAAGAAAAGAAAAGAAAGAAAGAAAGAAAAAGAAAAGAAAGGAAAATAGTAGTAGTGGGACACAGCTTTCTTGTTTTTTGTCACTGGTGAGCAAATTAGAATTTAAAATCTTTTGAGCATTAGAAACAGAGTCAGTCTCCATATTGATAGTTTTGCTTGTTAGAGCTACCAGGAAAAGGCGATCAACATGAAAAGAGCTGCTCACCCGATGAAAACACTCTTAGAGTTTTAGCAAGAAGTCTTTAGTCGCTAATGGCCTCCTGTAAGTCATATCAGATCTTGTAAAATCTGATCCTTACAGGCTGATAATTTTCCAGTCTGCTGTGGGTCAACTCGGACTCTAAGCGTGACATGCCACAGAGGTCTTAGGACAGCCTTGCCCATCACTGGGACTTGGAGCACAGTCATCTGGTCCTCCAGCATCTCACCTTTTCTGCCTTTCTGGACTCTTGAACTCAGGGCTCCTAATCACCCAGGCCAGACTCTGAGCTGAAGCCTGACACTGTCTGCCCTGGGCTGATTCAGTCTCCGCTCCAGCTGTGCTGAAATGAAAACAGGCACAAGCTCCAGGAACACGACTTCGGCTCTGGGACTGCAGTAGACACTGGACATCCCTTGGGGCCTTAAATTATGAGAACATTCTGGCTGGACTATCTGGGTCTCATACAAACGTCTACAGGAGAGGGCTTGTGCTCTCATGGGACCCTCTGAAATCCTGCTGATTGGCTCTGGATTTCTGATAGAGACCACTGGAATTCTAACTTGAGATGAGTGCTGAAGGCTGCAGGGTGAGGAGGGCACATCCCAGGGACAGTGACCCTTCGCTTCTCCTGACAGGTCGACTCTCAACTCCCTCTTGGAGATGTCACCCTGCTGTTGATTACTGTGCTCAATATCCAGGACTGGTTGTAGTTTGCTGCAATGCACCGACAGCCCAACTCTTCCCTTCCTCTCTCCCGGGTCGCATACCTTAGGGAGGCAGTTTGGTTATTAAATGCAGTCGCGTCCAGTGAGTGATCTTTTCTAGGCTGCTCAGCATAAAAGGGACGGGAGGTTATGTCAACCCATTTTGAAATGTTTTGAAAATCCAAGATTCCATCCCTGACCAGTTCCCAAACATGATGCATCTTTCTGGTTAAGTTATATAAAAATGTTTTGTGATGAAAATGCTTTTTTTCTCCCTTGCATACAATCCTTGCAGGTGAAAGGTCTAGATGGCAGTAGGGATGGTTTTTCAAACGGAAAGTTAGGACTGCTGAATGGGGCACACTGATTTTGAAACAACAGAGAGATGACAGAAACCCCAGCACTCAGGGAGGAGTAGGGAGCAGTGAGGGCTTTCATGGTCTGTCTTTCAGAGCTGTTTCTGGAAGCTTTCCTCGCTTCCTGAAGGGAAAGCTCCCTGTGCTGCCTTTCCAAGTCTAGGAGAGCTTTGAACTCTAGCTGACTACTACACAGCAGGGGGTGACCCGGCTCTGAAACCTCGGCACAGAACATCTCCTGATGTCGTCCACACTCGAGGAGGGCGAACTGGTGTCACAGACAACAAACCTTTAGTGACCGACTGCCTCAGGCAGTCCCTCTGAAACCACAGACTACACTGAATTAATTGGAAGGAACTGGAAGCCTATGGTGGGAGTCCCACGATGGGAGGGAACACTGGGGTCCTGCCAACCTGTTCTGCCTAACGTATATCCTGCCTGGGTGCTCCAGTAATTGCCACCTCTTTGTTTCCAGGGGTACAGCGTGTACCCTCAGGGGTTGTACTTCTTGTGTGTGTGCCCTCCTGTGACAACACTGTCTCAGCCCTGGAAGGTGTCCAGGTCAGCTTCAACTTATTGGCCAGAGCTGTGCTGTACCTGAATTGATGCCTTAGTCCAGGTAAAAAAGGTATATACAAAAACTTTACCATGACAGTTTATCTTTAAGTATCTCTATGGGCCGTGGCCTGTGAGTTCAATCCCAGCACTTTGGGAGGATGAGGTATGAGGATTGCTTGAGCCCAGGAGTTTGAGACCAGCCTGGGCAGCATAATAGGACCTCATCTCTACGAAAAATAAAAAATAAAAAAAAGTAGCTGGGCATGGTGGTGTGTGCCTATAGTCCCAGCTACTGGGGAGGCTGAGAAGGAAGGATAACTTAAGTCCAAGAGTTGGAGGCTGTGGTGAGCCATGATGGTGCCACTTTACTCCAGCCTGGGTGACAGAGTGAGACCCTGACCCAATCAACCAACCAACCACCTTTATGGTTAATGGGATTTACCTTAAAAGGTATAACTGAGATCAACACTGCAGGTTGGTCTCACCCGGCTGCATGGGGTCCTAGTGATAGTAATTTTTGTTGTAAAGATGCCTTGACCGAGGGTTAAAAGGGTAGAATGTGTAGAAAGAGTTAGCATAGCAGGCCTGAGATTGTCATTCTTAGAAAGACCTGCTCACAGGTTTGGCTTTTGATTGACTTTTGGGAGCATAGATTTGAGGAGGGTTCCCACCATTACCTAAATGGTAAGAGTGGCTCACTGTGCTGAACTGTGCATATAAGCTGGCTTGTACTGAACATCTGCTTTCCTTCTGGGAGTCTGGAATTTGGTACATGCTAGGCAGAGGCACCTACACGACTGACCCAATGAAAACCTTGGGCCTCTAGGCTCAGGCAAATTTCCCTGGAAGACATTTCACAGGTGTTGCCACAATTTGTTGCTGGAGGAATGAAGCGTGTCCTGTGACTCTACTGGGAGAAGACTCCTGAAAGCTTGGGCCTAGTTTCCTCTGGACTTTACCCCATGTCCCATTCCCACTGTGGATTTTGCTTGGCATCTTTTCCTTGTAATAAATCATGGCTGTTGTACAACTATGTGCTGAGTCCTATGAGTCCCCCAGCAAATCACTGAACCTGGGGGTGGTCTTGGGGACCCAACACAGCATGGAAAAAGGAAGAGAAAGATTAAAGAGATTTATAGGAAGGGAGAGGATGGAAGAAGATAGGACAGTACAAGAAGGTAAAGAAGAGGGTCGTAGAAAGGAAAAGACTCCAACTCAAAAGAAAAAAGAAAGGAAATGGGAGTGACAGTCAACATTGTAGCAGGACTGAACTTAATTGCTGTTGGGTTGCTGGAACAAACGTGAATTCAAGGCTCACAAAATTGCTCAGGGAATAATTCTCAGACGTCCCTGGCCGAACACAACTGTTCCAGCAAAACAGAATGACCAACGTTCCCAACTCTGCTGGGAAACATGAGATCATCATCCTTGATGGATGTACAAGATGTGAGAGCTTTTGTCCAGTTGGGGGAACTTGTGCAATCACTCTGTGAGGCCAGCCAGCCAGGATTATCATTGTTCCTAGTTCACAGGCATCTAAAGGCCTCCTGCTCCTAGAATCCAAATGAATTGCCCCATCTGTTTGTACGTCTTTAACAAAACATCCCATGATCTGCTATGCTGGTCCACAGTTCACATCTGCTCCTTCCACTAGACTTGAATTCCTTGAAGGATCATCATGGTCTTACTTTTTTTTTTTCTTGTCTTTCTTTGGGTAAAAGAAGAGATGATCTCTTCTGATGATAGCTTCATTGTGGGAAAACAATGAAAATAAAACACATGTAATCCCTATTTTGGTCACCTCTGTATCCCTTTCAGATTCAAGAATAACCTGGCACACAGTAGGTATTCAATCAACATTATCTGTTGTTCGCTAAAGGTTCTAATTATGACACCTTCCCAAAGGGGCTGTCAGGAAGATGACATGAGAATGGTGGTAAGGGAACTTTGTAAACTGCAAAGCACTTTGCAAAATCTACATTAGCTAACATAATTATGCACCCTCAACTTTACATTCATTTAAGAACATCTGTGAGAAGACGACTGCGTTTTCCCAGTGAGTGGAGGAGCCACTGTGGGTGGGGCACTGCACACAGGCTTTGATTTTTCCATCTGGAGATAAGAAAACCAGGAGTTTGGAAGACTTACCTAAGGTCTTGTAAATATGTTCACACTTACATCCATCTGTGGCTTCTCCTCAGAAATAAGATCTGACTTTATAATTTGTTCTCACTTAATTTTCAAGTAAAGTTGTAACAGTTTTAAAGTAGGTTGTAAATAGCTTTTTCTCCTCTTTCTTTCATTTTGCTCTTACTTATCAAAATTGTCATAAACCTTCAAAATCCCAAAAGGCACTCTGCCTCTTTATGGGGAGGTGGAAAGAACATGAGTATTGGAGTGAGACAGACTTGGGCATGCATCTTATGCCCAAGATTTTATTAGCTGGGCAACTTTGGACAAAGGACTTAATTTCCATGAGACTTAATTCAAAATGAGAACAACAGTATCCATCGTCTAAAGGTATCAATATATGCAGAGTACTTAGCTCTGTGCCTGGCGCCTTATGCATGCTTTACAAATGGTGGCTGAGTATCGCTGTCATTGTCATTATTGTGACTAGTATTATTAGTAATAATAATAAGTTGAAAGAGAAGCAGGAAGAATCACAACTTTTGGCAGTGTTACCATTTGAAGAACCCTAGTGAAACTGGTCTGACAGGTCACTCACAAAACCAGCATCAAAAGGTCTTTCCCCCAAGACATCATAAAAATAAACTACAAAAGTCGGCAATTTCCACCTGTCAGTTGAGTAGAATCAACAGGCCCATCCAGGCGCGAGGTTTCTTCTCAGCATCAGCTTCACTGCCTGCCAGTGACTAACCAGACCTGGAGACCAGGGATAGGCAAGACTGAATTTGTCATAGCATCTCATGAATGAGTGTGTGTGATAGGGACAAAAGGGACTGAGAACCAAGCCTTGTATTGGGGCAGGGAGGGGAAAAATCAGACTTCAATGAAGAGAATGAGAAATGATCTGAAATAAGCAACGTTCAGAGGCGAAACCTGTCAGCTTGAGAGCAAGAGTCATGATGACACCTTCTTTTTTAGGCAATCCTTCCACTTCAGCCTTCCAAGTAGCTGGAACTACCGGCACGCGTGACCATGCCTGTCTAATTTTTCTTAACTTATGATAGAGATGAGGTCTCATCAAATTGCCCAGGCTGGTCTTGAACCCCTGGGCTCAGACAATCCTCTTACCTCGGTCTCCCAAACTGCTGGGATTATAGGTGGCACCCAAAATGACACCTTCTTAACTCAATTATCTCTTAAAGAAACACCAATACTTGTTGTCAAATGGTAGTAGATTAAAAAAAATGTTTGGGGGGGATAACATAACCAGGAAAGGCACAGGGGTCAGAAAGTTGGGAGGGAGCTCCAAGTCCACCTATCTAGTCATTTTCACACTGTGGCCACAGGCTTCTTTAGAAATGCTTTGGGGTCTCCATAAATTGTGAAATATTTCTTGCCAGGACAATGGCTTGCTGCTTGGAGAACCTATTCAAGCTTTTAGCCTGTTACTGTTCCAATGCTAAAGATTTAAATACTAGTGGTGTACACCAATGCCTATCTTTTATCTAGATTCTAAGGCCCAGAGAGGACAATTCACTTGTTCAAGGTAACACAAGGACAGACTTAGGTCTGTAACCCATAAGTCTTGCTGTCTCATCCCATGTAGGAGTATGAGACAGACACACGGGTAACTCACTAGTTTACAGACAATGCCAGGTGTGGGCTCTACCTTCCCTGAACCTACAGAAGGACTCTGGTATTGGGCACTGGAGGCCTCCTGCTTCCTGAAACATGACATCCTAAATGAATCTTGTCAACTTACACCAAGACTGACCTCCCATCTCCCAGCCTCCTGATCCATGCTGTTCTGGCCCAATTTCCTTTTTCCTGTCAGCCGCTTTCCTTCCTGTCCCTGTGGGTGTGGCTTGGGCCCATACACTGTGAGACTAAGTGGAAAGTGCCTGGGACACCCCCATTCCCAGTTCCATCGACTCTTACAAGGCCTGAATGGGCTCCAGCTCCTTGGAATGCCTTGAGGCAGCTCATTGATTCCAATCCTAAGAGTCCTTAAATTCTTAAAACTGAAAGAAAACTCTGAGATGGTTTAAATGAATCCCCTAATTTTGCAAATGAAGAACCCTAGTGAAACTGGTTCATGTGATCCATACAAAATCACACGGGAACACCAGGATTCAAAGCAGGTCTCCCGACTCCAGAGCCAGCACCCTTTCCAATAGCCACACGCCATTCTCCCATTTAATTCAACTCATTAAATCCAAACATGCCTGTCAAATGTCCACTGTGCATTTTAGGAAAGGAAGAGAAGGAGGAAGGACACATAGAAAGAAGCAGAAATCATGAATTAATCCAAAGGAAGCTGCAAGGGAAACAAGGATGTAGAGGATGCATCCACCATCCTCAAGAAGCTTATAATGCTGAAGAAAAGATAAGACAAGTCTGTAACACAAAGCAAAACAGAAGTGCTCCAAAAAAGTTCTGCCCGTGTTAGATGAAAGCAAAGAAAGTTTAAGATACCTGAAAAAGGCTTCAGGGAGGAGGTAAAATTTAAAACAGGTTAAATAATTTGACACTCATTCCCACTCTCTCCTAGCTGGTCTTTAGAGGCTAGAAAGCAAAAACCCTTCCCAGTTTCCCTTGCAGCTGGGTGTGGTCAGGCAACTCCATTCTGACCAATAAGACATACGCAGGCTTCTTCTAGGGTAGCTGCTACCACTTCTGCCTCTTTCTTCCCACCTGACCGTGTGTAGTGCTTAGAGCCACAGCAGCGATCACTACCAGAGTGGAGGGAGGAGATGAGAAGAGGCTGGCTTCTGGATGGAATCCCTGAGCAGCCACGCTGGCCCTGCACCACCTGGCCCTGAACTTCTTGTTGCATGAGACGACTCCGTCCCTATTTGGTTCAGCCAACTAGCAGAGCGTCTCTTCTATGCAGCCGAACCCAAACCTGAGTGGTTTGCAGGCCTTAAAAAAGGCATGCGAGTTCCACCAGCAGAGGCAAGGGATGGTATAAGCAAACATCCCGGAGGGGAAAGCCTGGGGCATGTTCTCAGCTAAGCAGGAGTCAGTAGAGAGAAAGACCAAAAGAGAAGTGGGGAAAGGCAGGCTGAAGACAGGGACAGAAGATGGGGAGTCAGAGGACGGATGCAGACTTCACTCCCAATGCCCGGGGAATTGTGGGAACTGTGAGCAGTGCTGCTCTCTTGACGCTAGCTCCTTGGCATTGAGGGAGGCTTGGGCCTGGGACGAGCAGGTGGGGCAGCTGCTGAGGAGCCTGGAGCAAGAGTGGGTGGCCTATTTCACTCGAATCTGCCATGCATATATTACATTCCTGTTTGCTTAGTGTTTGCACGGGACACCAGGAACCACAGTACCGCAAACTCCCCTGCACTCTGAAGGCTCTTCTCTTACTGTGTCACTTTCCTCCCACCAGCAATTACCAGGCTGGCAGACCGCAGCCAGCCGAACCTCGCCCTCTGGCTTCGAAAGTGCGCCTGCTTTGACTGCAGAAATGTCGCAGGCCACAGACATCTTCGCCAAGGATGGTCAGAGATGGAAGCAACAAGACAGACGGAAAACATGGTCTCTGGGATCATCGGCAGGAAAATGGATGCAGAAAAGATATTCAACCTGTGATGGCTCTGAGCAAGTTCAAGAACCTGCAGGCAGCTACAGGAAAGAAATCCCTTCCTGGTTTCACCTTTCTGTGTGTACATGTTTCTCTGATTTAGACACAAGTTTCAGGGGCAGAGTGATGTGGTGGAAAAATGTAGGACCGCCCCCACCTAGCTGTTTAAGCTCACAAAACCAAACAGGGCTGGGCATGGTGGCTCACACCTGTAATCCCAGCACTTTGGAAGGCCGAGGCAGAAGGATTGCCTGAGTCCAGGAGTTTGAGACCAGTCTGGACAACACAGCAAGACCCCATCTCTATTTTTTTGATAATTAAAATAAAAATAAAAATAAAACAAAACATCTGCTACTTCCTAGACTTTAACATCCCCACCTGTCCACATATACAGTGAGAGGTTTGGACCAGAAAAAGAAGTCTCATCCTCCCCAAAATGCTCCCACCCCCAGCTCCCTGAGCAGCCAGCAGAGTTTCTGTGCTGTACATCCACATGGGAGGCCTCACGCTGTGCGTGTTTGAATCTGTCCTGAATCCTCAGTTGGTTCCCCCAGGGCAAGAGTCCTGTGTTCTCCACAGCCAGGACACACAGTAGAAACTCTACAAATCTTTTCTGAGTGGATTCGTGAGCTGCCAAAGTGGTTTCTGGATAAGGGTTTTAGGTGAGAAATAGTGATATTCTCAGGGCCTGGGACCAAGGCAGTGAATGGCCCCACAAGTGGCCCTCCCAGGCTCCAGGCACGTCAGCCTGAAGAGAACGAGGCTGAGTTAGTGCAGTTTCTCATCAGCCACATTCTATAGAACTAGCCCCACTGCATGTGGACAATGTTCTCTGAAGAAAAGGTCCTCTGGCCCAAAACAGGTGAAGACATTTACAAACATTACCCTGCATTCCACCCATTACTTCATGGCTATGAGCCTAGTAAAGGCTCTGAGAAGTACTAGAGTAAAGATACCTGTTTAGTTTTACGTAACCAAGAATTTCTCAAACTTATTTGTCTACGGAACCCATGTTTGGAAAACAGCCACAAAGCATGACCACAGCTTGAAGGCAGTTATGCTCTCCACTATGCTACTCACACACTGCATGGTCATAGTCTGAGAAACACTAGGTTAGTATAAATGGTTTCTACAGTAACGTTTTCACTTGCAAACCACGTTGGAGAGGCTAAAAGACCCTCTAGGACCGAGAATGATCAGTCACTGCCTAAAAAATGGACCAGGCATGAAAACGAAGACAGATATGAGAATTTAGTCAGTTGTTATTATTGTTATTTTCTCCTTTGCTTAACATCTACTCAACAGCAACTGAATATCTGCTATGTGTCCAACACAAGGGATACAAAAACAGGTGCTCTCTTTGCAGAAGAAAACCACCTAAAGGGGAAGAGAAAGTAAGTATGGAATAATATGCTAAATACTATAAGCAGATGTCATGGGAAGGCAGAAGAAGGTACCTGGGAGAACCAAGGAAACTAGACCTTGGATAGTAACGACAAAAATGACATTCATAACAATACCTTCATATAGAGCTAACCACGTACCAAACACTGTTCTAAGCACTTCGTGTATATTAGCTCACTTAAACACCTCAGCAGTCTTACCAGTTACCTCTAGTACCTGCATTTGATGAATGAGATCAGGGAGGTTCAGAGGGCAAGTAACTTGCCCAAGCCCACACAGCTAGTAACGTAGCAGTCAGGATTGAAACCCACACAGTAGGGCTCCAGAGTCCGTGCTTTTCAGAACTAGGCTGAACTGCTTTTTTGGGATGAGTGGCATACCAGATGGAAAAGGACAGAAACCTTCCAGGCAAGGGGATCAAGAAAAACAGTCAGTAGTTCTGTGTGCTTAAAACATGGACTCTCAACCTATGCCTGGAAGTTCTGACTGTATCCTGTAGACCTGAGTCCTCAGACATTTTCACTAATGCCTTTCAGGCAAGAAAGGAAAACACAAGTCTTTAGGGGAGTCTGGAAGTATAGCTTGAAGAAACCTCCACGAATTTCTTTTAAAGTCTTCAAGCACCATCTGAAAAATTCATGAGAATTCTATATTTTACACCATAACAGAATTGTGTTGATTTACTATAAAACATTTTAACCACTTACCAGTTCAATTAACATTTTTACAGAGAACTCCAGGAATGTATGTCATTATTTCTCCTGAGGCCTCGGGTATCCCTGGCAACCTGCTTGGATCCCTGGCTCCCTGCTGGAGGCATAGCTGTAAACAACAGGAAGTCTTATGAGATGTCTCAGCCAGGGATGGCCAGAGCACATTCAGGTTTTCAAAAGGTGACTCTTCAGAATAGCAAAAACCTATGAACCACTTAAACATCTACCAAGAGAGAACTGGTTAAATAGATTTCTTTCATGCAACAGAATACTATGGTACTCTGAAAAAAAGTGAGAAGTCAGCATGATGTACAGGTAAGAAAAGCGCTGTAAGTTAACATATTCAAACAAGAAGTATGGAGAGTGTACAGAGTGGATTCCCAGTTGTGTGTGAGCTGGGGAAAGTGCGTGTTAAGGACATCCCCACGTACACATGCCTGTACAGGCCGAGAAAAACTTTGGAAGGGTAGTAACGCACTTCCCCAGTGAGGAACTTCAGGAAGAGTGCTGGAACTATGAAGTGAGAGAACTTATTTTTCATTGCATATCCTTTGGGATCATTTGCATTTCTACCACATGCATGCATTATTTTTTCAAATAAAATACATAGTTTAGGGAGTAGTTTAAACTGTTTAAACATAGTTTAAACTGTTTCAAAAGAAAAAGTTAGAAAAAGTTTTTAAGAAAACGAAAAATGGAAAAGAATTTTAGTAGCAATACATCATGGACAGTTGTTGGGAAAAACAGAAAGGGAGTCCAGGTGTCCTGTGGTGGTGGGGACAGGTTTCAGGACCTCCGTGGGTACCAAAGTCCACAGATGCTCAAAGTCTCTGACATAAAATGGTGTAGTATTTGCATATAACCTACACACAGGCTTCCCTATACTTTAAATCATCTCTGGATCACTTAATACAATGTAAATGCATGTAAATCATTGCTACATTATATTTTTTAAATGTGTATAATTTTTTATCATTGTACTAATATTTATTTATTTATTTTTTGAGTTGGGGTCTTACTCTGTTGTCCAAGCTGGAGTGCAGTGGTGCAATCATGGCTCACTGTAGCTTCAGCCTCCTAGACTCGGCGAGCCTTCTGCCTCAGCCTCCCCAGTAGCTGGGACTACAGGTGCATGCCACCACACCTGGCTAATTTTTTGATTTTTTTTTGTACAGGCAGTGTCTCACTCTGTTGCCCAGGCTGGCATACTGCTATTTTTTATTGGGTTTTTTTTCCCAAATATTTTTTAGTTGAGTCTGGTTGAATCCACAGATGTGGGTTCATGGATATGGAGGGTCAACTGTACAGAGAAAGACCTATAAAAAGCCACTATCCTGGAGCAAGATGGTAAAATGGAATTAAAGAAGTGCCAGTAAGGGTAAGAAAAAGACTGAGATATTTAGGAGTAGCAACACTAGAACTTGGTGACTGGTTGAGCTATAGGGGGCACAACAGAGGTAGAAGTTGAGAATTACTTGAGCGATAGGAGAGACAGAGGAGTTGTTCACTAGGAAAATGTACAGCAAGAGAAAGAGCCAGAATGTGGGGAGGATAATTAGCTCAGTTTTGGACATAATGTGGTCTGTTTTTTTGATGCCTCTTAGGACATCCAGACACAGGTGACCTATTAGAAATGTGAGTGTAGAGTTTATGGCAATAAGCAATCACATTTACCTTACTGACGGCAACTTACCAACTTCTAACAGAAAAAAGAATGAAATGTGATTACCTTACTGTGTTTCAAGAGTTAACACAGCGGGCCAGAGACTGCTATCCTTAGAAAGGCCTGCTTTGCAAGGTTGGCCCTTGGCTGACTTCTGCGCACCAGTCTGGCAAACAGTTTCCTACGCTGATATGAAACTTGCCCTAGATGATAAGGGTGGTTCACTCTGCCTAGACCGTTTGCGCAAACAATATGGTCTATTTAGGCTGAATACTGTTTTCCTTCTGGAAGTCCAGAATTCTGTTCATGCTAGGTAGAGGGTGCCCATGTGATCAGCCCCTGGGAGACACCTTGGGCACAGGTCTCTAATAAGTTTCCCTGGTAAAAATGCATTTGATGTGTGCTGTCACAATTTGTTGCTGAAAGAATTAAGTACATCCCGTGTGACCCTAGACGCTGGCTCTTGGTCTCTTCTGGATCCCCTTGTGCCTTTTCCCTTTGATTTTGCTTTGTACCCTTTCCTGTAATAAATCTTAGCTGTGAGAACAACTATATGCTGAGTCTGGTAAGTCCTTCTGGCAAATGACTGAACCTGGGGGTGGTTTTAGGAATACTTGTCACACCTTCCCTCAGGTGGGAGTTGAGGTGGGAGATACACTCAAAATCTAAGTCTGCACGGCCTCTCTGTCCTCATCATCTCTCTGTCACAGTCCCAAATGAAGATATAACTTTTAAATGTTCACATAAAAAAATACCTGGGTGCAGTGGCTCACGCCTATAATCCCAGCACTTTGGGCGCCGAGGTGAGAGGATTGCCTGCGCCCATAAGTCTGAGACCAGCCTGGGCAACTTGACAAGACCTCATGTCTACAATAAATAAAAAAATTAGCTGGGCGTGCTGGGTGCGAGTCTGTAGTTCCAGCTACTTGAAAGGCTGAGGCAGAAGGATCACCTGAGCCCAGCAGGTCGAGGCTGCGGTGGCCGTGATCGTGCCACTGCACACCAGCCTGGGCGACAGAGTGAGATTCTGACTCGAAAAAAAAATAAGACCAGAGTTTCTCCTTTAACAAGGTGTGGTGCCAGTGAGGTATGACCCTGCAGCTATACCTGTCTTGTGATAATG